CATGGTCCATTTCTTCATTCCTCACAAAGGGTGACACTCCCCATCATGCACCCAGGGGGCGGGGCCGACACGGCAGGGGCTGGTTCCTCGCTGTTTCCAGACGGCCTTGTGGAGCTAAGACTGAATGCGTTTCAGCATTGATGGCCACCACAAAATTGTACATTGGCTCCCGGCCAGCCTGGGCCAGGGCCAAGGCAGTGGGGGCCGTTCCCTCACTGTTTCCAGGATGGCTTCGCGGGCCACATGAAACCACTTCGCGGGCGGCATCCGGCCCCCGGGCCTTGTGTTTGACATGTCTGGTTTAGGTGTATCGCAATTTCATTCTTTCCAGCAATAAGAAAATGCTGGACATCGCTATGAAAAAGATGAGCAAAGGGGAAAATTTAGCGGCGGTAGCGTTCTTCCCACAAATTTCCTCAACCTCACCAACAAACATTTGGTCTGACCAGATAAGCTCTTTAAGGTTGATAAGACCAACATGTTGAGATGCAAAGGAAGGACATTCATGCTGAAAATTAGGAGGGATTTCCTGGCAATAAGCATTGAAACCATCTGTTTACAATTGCAATGGAGTCCTTCTAATTGAAGGCTCCCAAACAGGGTTAGATGATGATGATGATGATGATGATGATGATGATGATGATGATGATGATGATGATGATGATGATGATGATGATGATGATGATGATAATAATAATAATAATAATAATAATAATAATAATAATAATAATAATAATAATAATAATAATAATAATAATAAAGTTGGAAGGGACTTCAGAGGTCATCTAGTCCAACCCCCTGCTCAGGCAGGAACGCCTATACCATTTCAGACAAATGGCTGTCCAGACTCTTCTTAAAAACTCCCAGTGTTGGAGCATTCACTGCTTCTGGAGGCAGGTTGTTCCACTGGTTAATTGTTCTAACTGTCAGGAAGTTTCTCCTTAGTTCTAGGTTGCTTCTCTCCTTGCTTAGTTTCCATCCGTTGCTTCTTGTCCTGCCTTCAGGGGCTTTGGAGGATAGCTTGACTCCCTCTTCTTTGGGGCAGCCCCTGAGATACTGGAAGGCTGCTATCATGTCCCCCTTCGTCCTTCTCTTCATTAAGCTAGACATACCAAATTCCAGCAGCCATTCTTTATATGCTTTAGCCTCCAGTCCCCTGATCATCTTCGTTGCTCTTCTCTGTAGCTCTTTCTAGAGTCTCAACATCTTTTTTACATCGCGGTGACCAAAACTGGATGCAGTATTCCAAGGGTGACCTTACCAAGGCCTTGTAAAGTGGTATTAACACTTCACGTGATCTTGATTCTATCCCTCTGTTAATGCAGCCTAGATGATCAGGTAGTTTATTAGATTCCTGAATTAAACAAGCTGAGCAAGATGGTCTATTAAGAACCTATTCTGTAGGGGAAGAAATGGCAGAGTCGGGCGGAGTTTAAAGAGGGATCAGCCTAGAAACCCTACATAGCCACAAGCAAATTAAATCCAACTCTCCTTGAATGCCGTTGACCCTTATCTAACTCCAAGCAAGTGCTAACCATTACTTGAGAAGATTCCTGGGCACAGGCTTCTAGCAATAACTCAGTTTAATTGAACTTTCATGTGTGAACTTGGTCTTTTGCACCTGACACCTTCCTACCCATACATTCTGGGATATTCCTTACTTCTGTGGATAAACTGACAGATGAGAAGACACGGAAAGTGGATCCAAAGATTACATTCATGATTCACTCATCTATACTGGATCACTGGGTGAATATGATGGTTGATGTAAGCATTTTTATCCCATTCTTCTTTCAAACAATTCAGGATTACTTTCAAGGTTCAATTTTATCCTCCTAGCAATGCTGTAAAGGAAATTAGATGGAGACACCATGTCTGACCCAAGATTAACCCAACACTTTTCAGGGTTAATTGGGAATTTGAATGGGTGTCCCAGATCAAAGATCTTAGAGGTTGAGAAGAATTTGAGATCATATGCCACGAAGAGGCACAAAGAAAGAAACTAAATGTTCCCATTATGAATAGGGTCATTACAGTATGGCTGGCACATTCAATTTTTGTAGGAAAAAGATCAATCTATATGTAACGTTGGCAAGAATATTTACTTATTTTTTTTAATCCACGTTACCGTTTTTATTAGTTTATAATATAAGAAAACAAAAATGCAAAAGCAAATAGTAGGAAAGAAAAGGGAGGGAAAGGGGAAAAGAGAAGTGTAGAAAAGAAGGAAGAAAAAAAACGAAAAGGCATTGACTTCCGATTCTCTGGTGCAGTAGAATAAAACAATTAACATCCGCCTTCAACTTTTTACTTTTACATAATAGTAGAAACCAGCCATTTCTAGATCAACTAATCTATCGAACGGGTAAAACCCAAAATCAAAGTTTCATATTTTTCTCCACCTCCAGCGCAAAGTCCAGAAGCGGTTTCCAAGTAGAAACAAAAGTACTTATACTTTTTTTTCCCTTTAATCAAAAAACAGTCGATTTAGCCACTAACTCCATCAACCTTAGCAGCCATTCATCCATCGTGGGAATCCAAGCGTCCTTCCATTTTTGCGGATAAAGTATTTATTATTTATTTATTATTTAAATTTATATACCGCCCTATCTCCCTTACAGGACTCAGGGCGGTGAACAGGCAATAATAAAAATCACAGTAAATATTACATAAAAGCCTGCTCTAAAATATAAAACCCCTAACAAAACCCAGTCAAAACTACGCCAGGCCGGCCGCATGGAACAGATGAGTTTTCAGGGCTCGGCGGAAGAGGCGCAGGTCCGCAATTGTACGTAGGTCGGGGGGCAGGTCATTCCAGAGGGCAGGAGCTGCCACAGAGAAGGCTCTCCCCCTGGGGGTCGC